GGGGGGACTTTAGCTGGGCTCACTCCCACAACTGGGCCCCAGTGTGCCGAAGATGACCTGTCATTAATCACGCTCATGGGCTATGCTCAAAGCTCCTGAGCTGTGGTGTAATTTGAGTCTTTTGTTGGGCATATCAGGTAGGCTAAAGGCCAAAGATTCAGGGAAACTGAATAACAACCCAGAGAAGTTTAAAATCAGAAGACAATGCCAAAGTCAGGTAAATGTGAATTTACAGAGATCATATATAGTATTAAAAAGTTCTGGAGTTGGACAGAAATTCTAGTTTGGCCACTTATGAAGGCCGCTTCATTACAACTCATTTAAAAAAAATCTATAAAACAATGAAAATGCCATATTTCATAGCATCTAAGATGACGTCAACTAGAAGACCAATCCCCAATACAGACACTTTTAAAATGTAAAAAAAAAAAAAAAAAATGGCCAAATGGGATGGTTAAATGCATCCCGACAACACAATTGTTAAGAGTGTAAAAACTGCATCTCTTAGAATCTGTGACACACACAGTAATACCCACTTTACAGGTGTGTCTCCTCCCTGTGAGGATTGAATGAGGTAACATAGGTCAAGTTCTCAGCCCAGCATGGAGGAACTGCTCAATAAATTCTGGAGGCTGCTGTTCCTGCTGGTGTTGTCCTTATAATTTGGAGCTGGCAACAAATAGTAACAAAAGGATATACTTGATCCGGGTCATCATAATCTAGCAAAACAACCTGGATGTTGTCTTTTCCTTGCTGCAGGGTAAGAAACAAGAGGCAGACATGCCAGAGGTAGCTCCAGAAGTAAACCTCCAATGAAGTTAAGTACAGAACATGCACAGGACTGGCAAATAGCAAAAACCGTCCTGTTTATTCTGCCGAGGGAGACCCAGATCTGAGAAACAATTTTCCCAAATCCCAAATGTACAAGAGAAACATCTTTTAAAAGGGCATTGGTCAAATGGTGGGTTGGGGGGGGGGGTCCTTTGAATTTGGAGTAGGGGAAAAAAACTTCCAGAATGTTTTGCTAGCTTTTCTAGTTTTTTTTCCTTGCCTCTCACTAACAGCTTCTTCTATTACACTCCCTGTGATTTTTGAATTGAAAACCTGCTGTGCAGCCTCCTGTGATGTGAGTTTTCATTTAGGCCTGGAGGGGTCTGTGGAGAGATGAGGAAGTGCCAAGAGGTGTCAGTCAAGCTCCTTCACCTGCCTGCAAGGCAGCGGTTTCTGGAAGAGTCTGGAGTGGGCCTTAAGCCAGTGAAACGGCCATTCATTGCCCTTTTGTTGCCAAAAACAATGCTGCCAGTGGTAGAACAGTGATGCAAAAAAAATGAATGCCAGGACTCTAGTAAGTGAAAACATGCCTGGCTTATGCCACTGCCTCTAAAGCAGTCTACTTCTTTTCCCAGGTTGGGCTCAGTGGCATTTTTAGAGACATGGATGGAAGCAGGGTGTCTATGAATGTGTGCAAAACCCCAGCCCAGGTGAAGAAAAGCAGCCTAATGATCTTGTATATGGACACGTAAATACGATAAAAATGGTTCTCAAACAGAAACAAAGACTCTATTATTTTCAGGGAGATTTTAAATTGGTAACTCCTTCCATTTCTTATTTCAACTTATTTCAACACGAGGACTGATGTAAATGGTATCCAGAGAAAGACAAAAAGGAGTTTGTGGCAAGAGTTCATCTCCCTAGTTTGATTGGCAACTTTTAAGAAAAGAAAATTATATGGAAGTTCTGACTGACTGATGATGCCATAGAAAAATTAGGTATTATACAGTCACTACTAAATTGATAGCCTTTAGGGATTTTGAGAAAGAAGGCAACTCAAGAGGCAGCTGTGGATCACAATGTCAGAGAAAAAACAAACTACCCGAGATAGTGGCAACCTGAACTTTAAACATGTGGGCTTACTGGTTTGCAATTTGCAAATACAGCTTTTGCTTCTTCTCTGCAGGCCAATTGCACGTGTGCCCCTCCGAATCCCAATCTTGCCTCAGGGTCCAGAAGCAAGATGTGGCCCAGTTTGGGAGCAGAGCTGAGTCCCCATCCCATGCAGACAGGGCACATTCATGCCATGCTCCTGCCTCCTCCTTCCTAGATTCACTAAGGACTCTTTCAGGACTGTACATTCCATTTGATTCCATTTCTCCCTAAGAAAAAATGCACTCAGTAACCTCCCAAATTTCCTGAAACTAGTGTCCTTCAAGGTTGCCTTGAAAATTTTAAATGTGCGTACAAGTTCTACCTCATACCTCCTTTGTCCTAACCTGGTGTCTGAGATGTCATGATGGCAGGCTACTCCCCGTGGCCAAGCACCAGGAGGGGCTTATTTCAGTAATGGGGCTGAGTCTCAATGACCCATTCACCTGGGCCCTCTTGGATCAGAGCACAGTTTGAAAGGTAAGTGGCCAGGAGATGGGTCTTACTTTGTTATTTGCATAAAGTGAAGACTAACATTAGCTTTATAGGCATCACTGAATTAACTATGTTCTTGGTAGCAATGGAAGCTTGAATCTCAATATTGGTGTGAACTCTACTTGTTATTTTCTGGAAAAAAGCAAAAGTTTACTTGCCCAGGTCTTCTCCTAGCATATCTGGACCCCTTGAGCATGAATTAAAAGCAGTCATCCTCTCTGGGCAGATCAATTACAGCCCTCACTTGGTCAGCCCTTGGCTCTTGGGCAGGACACACCTGAACAGCTTTTAAGGCAGCCCCCAAACTGCCTAGTCTTCAGAATGTGGCAAACTTGCTCCACCGACATACATTATTGCACCAAAATTACAGGGAATTTGTAGTTATTTCCACTGTACTCAGATTGAAAAACTATGTATATTAGTATAGTTAATTGGTGCCTTCCATCATTAGTCTATTTCATTAATGTTGGAACAGTTTTATTTTTATTTACAGAGTAAGATTTTTTTTAAGAGCAAAACTTTATATTATTTCTTAGGGAGAAGCAGTTTATAGAAGATCTTTTCTCTTATCCCTCCAAGGATGAAAACAGACCACTGGGTTCCCTGAGGTCAGAGGATGCTGACGAATTGGCCCCGGTTCCACTGAAGTCTGCTTCCCGTTTCCCCTCCGCCTCCCCTTCAAAGGTAGACCATCACTGCCTGCTGTTTGGGACTGGGCTGCCCCTCAGCAGAGTGTCTGCCTTCCCACCTGAAGGAGATGAGCCTAGAATCAATTTCCTTATGGGTCTGGGTAACTGGGCCCTCTGAGAATTAGATAAGCTATAGATGGATATTATCTGCAGAAAAATGCAAACACTCCTAATCCCCAGTTTTTCTCATGCAGTTTTAGGGTGTTCTGGAATCCAGGTCAAGAAAGTGGTTTGAAATCTTTTTTTTTTTGTGCCAGGGATCTTCTGGCAGTCTGATGACCTGACCCTCTCAGGATAACAATCTGGTGCATAAAGTAAAATACATACGCTTTTCAGAGAAACCAATTATATTGAAATAGTTATCAAAATTGTAAAACCTTTTGTGATACAGAAATATCTATGTACTTTTATATAAATGTATTAAATAAAAAGACCTAGTGGAGAGTCTAATAACCATTGTAATTTTGTACTGATGAGCACAAAAGATAATATTACAAAGTCTGCCCCTCTGTGATGTGACATGAAAGCCTCTGTGACTTCCACTGGGTTCATCATTGAAGTGGTGCTGAGTTCAGTTAGAGGTTAGTAAGAATATAGGGGCATTTCTCTCCTATCACGATCCTGAACCTTAGGTCAAGAACCCCTGGGACACAAGGATTCTGAGTGTGGCTGCTGGGCATGGCTCTGGTTCTAGCTGCCTCAGCCCCTTCTGTCTCAGGCCACAGAGGGGACTGTGGGGCTCCTGACTCCTGACTCCTGACCGAGACAACCTGAGCCTATCATGATTTTTATATTCTGTTAGAAAAATTAAAGACGATACTCACAGTGGGTTCTGTCCTGTCATCACATGTAGGGGGAGAAAAGGAGGTACTAAGAGAGACCTAGTGGGCCAGCTGTGAACCAGTAACTGCTGCCTTCTCCAGCACAGAGCTGAGGCACAGGGATTCCTTCTGTGAAGCTGCCCTAGGTCTGGGAGACAGGTCTCTGTGGTGTCTTTTAGTTTGGATGCAACAAACATTGTCCTCTTACTTAAAAAATGATTTGAGGCTGGGCATGGTGGCTCACACCTATAATCCCAGCACTTTGGGAGGCCAAAGTGGGTGGATCACTTGAGGTCAGGAGTCTGAGACCAACATGGTCAAACCCCGACTCTACTAAAATTACGAAAATCAGCCGGACGTGATGGCATGCACCTGTAACCCCAGCTACATGGGAGGCCGAGGCAGGAGAATTGCTTGAAACTGGGAGGTGGAGGTTGCAGTGAGCTCCAGTGGACTCCAGCCTGGTCAACACAGTGAGACTCTGTCTCAAAAAAAAAACAAAAAACAAAAAAAAAAATTCAAGGCGCATTTTACTGAATTGCCTCTTGCCTTAATCTCACCTTTGCAGAGGTGCTCACCGAAGTGGGGCACCCTCCATGGCAGCCTCCATCCTGGGATAGTACAATGGCGTGTATTTGCTTCTTATCCTCCCATTGGCTTACTGAATGATGCTAAAATATCAACCTTTGCCAAAAATGCTAGGTATAAGCTTTGGGAGGTGTAAGTGTTTCACCATACTTGAAATACGAAATGACGTCTCACTGTAGCCGTGCAGTTATGACTAGCTGAGCTACTGCTGAAAAGCACCAGGGAAAAGTAAGATTCTCTCATTGGGATGCTGGAGCTCAGGCCTGCCTGAGGATGAAAAGTTCAAGTGCTAGACAGAAGAAAGTATTCTTCCTGATGAGTGGTGGGAGGGATCACACACTTCCTAGGGAAGGCCCTCAAATCAGCTTCCTTGGCAGGGACTCTCCTGAAACTGGGCTTCGTGGCCATTTGGAGGCACCTCATGACCTGATTTTCACTAGGAAAATGGTTTCTGAAAGAGGCTCACAGAATATCATGTGCTTACCAATTTTACTTCTTGCTTCATTTATACTTTCTCCCAGGGCCTTGGCTTCAGAAAATCTGGAGGGAAAAAAACAAAAATTGTAGTTTTTCTATTCATCCTACATGATGTTTTAAAAATAAAAGATTTCTGAGAGCTCACTAAAATATGATGAAACTTTATTAAAAAACAAAAGAAAAGTTATAAATAAGTAAAATATATTAAGCTTAAAAACAGAGATGAAATTGGTATTAATTATAGGTATTGTTAATTTTTACTCTATCCAGCACAGAATTTGCATTCTCATAGTCTCTCATTTAGGACTTTTAATTTAGATTGTTTTATGATATAAGAATACCAGAATAAAGCCTGACTGTAAGGTTTCTGTACTGCGATCTATTGATTATGATATCAAGATCTTATAACCCAAGAATATATACTTAGGTAACTTTTTCTGATTATAAAGTAATATATCAGAGGTGGTAAAACTATGTCTGGTTATGAGAGAAATCCAGCCTGCTGCCTGTTTCTGTAAATGAAGCTGTCCTGGAACACAGCCACCCTTATTCACTGATGCATTGTCTGTGGCTGCTTTCACACTACAAGACAGAGTCAAGTAGATAGGTAGAGACTGCGTGGCCTACAGTGCTGGAAACATTTTCTACCTGGCCCTTTGTAGAAGAAGTTTGCGGATTCCTGTTATATATGATTATCAAACCTGATTTTGAAAATATAAAAACAAGAAAAAAAATTCCCAAGTATTCCTCTACCCAGAAGCAAGCACATTTGATACACACACCCACCCAGTCTTTCATAGAGCCAGTTTTTATAGGGTTGGGATCATACTACAGATATGATTTTGGGCCCTAATTTTTTTTTCACTTAGCATTATAAGATAAACCCTTCCCTACATTGTGAGACGCTTACCTTTGAAGGCTGCATATTAGTGCACTAGATTGTTGTGCTAATGTTTAGTGAGTGATTCCTTTATGTTTCTGGCCTATGTTTATGAGACACCCACAATGAGCCAACTTTGTGCTAGAGAAGCTGATGGGACATGGCCTATGTGAGAAACACTTAGGTCAGTCCCTATACACAGTGGGCCCTCATGAAATGTTAGCTGTTTCCCTCCTCTCCTTTCTGCCATGAAGTTCAAGAGACCATTGAAAGCCTATGAAAGCAAGCACCTAATATATGGCTGAATTAAATGACTGTGCCTGCGGTAGTGCTAGTCATGCCATGAGAGTTTAACCAGGGAGTGGCCTGTTTATGAGTGAGTGGGGAGCCATCAGGAAAGCATCATGTACAAGGTGGGAGAGACCTGGGTTTTATGGATCCATGGGAATTTTTAGAAAGTGTTTTATTATGAAAATTTCCAAATATACATGAAATAGAATAGTAGAATGAAAGCTAACATACCCAGCATCACATTTTAATTGCCAATTTTATTTCAACTATCTCCCTCCTCCCCTCTCATCTTCTCACTTCCCACTCTCTCATATCCCAGCAAATCCCAGATATCCTATTGTTTCATCTTCGAACACTTTAGTTGCCTAGGATTGTGAGCAGAGGTGGGCATTCCAGGCAAGGGAACAACATAAGCAAAGGCCAGAGTGCCACGACTGCTCTGTGTTTGATGGAAAAGAAGTGTGAATTATGTCATCGCTATTTTCCAAATCTGTCTGCTTGGCCTGGGACTGCAAACAGGAGGTTTCCAGGGAAGGGGACTAAACTTTCTGTCAATGTCAGCTTCTTGGGACTCTGCCCCTGGCTCCCTTATTAAGGCTGTTCAGGCTCATGGTAGATTCTGTATGTCCTCTCCTCAGTGATGGCCTGCTGCCTTCTAGGGAGAAATACAGTTCCACCTGATGCAATTCAGACATTGACATGATGTCACTGTGCTGTGCTCTGTGGGCTCACATGGCCTCTGCTGCTGGGCAGGTATAAGGCGAGGTTTGCTCAGGCCCTTCAGAAGATGAGGACCATCTTCAACTCTCCATTTTGTCAAGGGAGGGCCCACAACCATTTCATCACTGCTCTGTCCGTCCGCATTACCTAGGGTTGATAAGATCTGACAGTCACACACTGCTCAATGAATGACTCCTCCTATTTCCTGTTCCATAGAGTTCTGGAAGCTTTAGACTCTTTGGTATAAGGAAAGTACAAGAGCAAGAGTGCAAAACTGCTGAAATTCACATTAATGCTAGAGGAAACCAGAGTACCGATAGAAAGGGAAGATACAGCGTGAGCAGAGGAGGGACTTTCCACCGTAGTGCTGCCTAGAGAAGCCCTGACAGGCCTGGGATAGAGTCCCCCAGCCTTGGCAGTGCCCAGATATGTCTGGGGGCCTGGCAGAGGGAGCTGCTGAGTGCTGTGGTCAACTCTCTCCAAAGAGCTTCCCTGCTCCAGAGCTGGCAGAAACTGTGGGGAAAGCCACGAGCTGTTCCTGTCTCTGCTGCAGCCCAGTCCTGAGCTAAAAAGGGCTTTCCCACTGGAGAAGTGTGGTCTGAGGGCCATGCAGTCTTCATGAGACCATTTTCCCGTCACTCTGGAAGTTGTCACCACTCCAGGCCACCCCACCCACATGTGTTCCTGATCTCTGGTTGTCAAGACAAACTCTGAAAGGCCCAACCCTGAGTGTGGAGAGGAAAAGAGCAAGTGTCAAGGATGGTGGGAGAGATGAGAAGGCTAAGGTCTCAGTTAGCAAAGATGCATGAAAGCGGGGAGACCCCTTCAGCGCTGCCACGTTCTTTCTGGCCCACCTGTATCTCCATGCCTCTCCAGCCAGCCCAAGTCTCCCTCCCTCCTCACTTGCTCCCCTTCCTCCTGCCCCTCCGTCTGAGTTCTGCTCACCTAGACTTCTCCGGGGGAGTTTCCTGCCTCCTGATTTTCTAAAAGGCACAGCCTCATCCATGAGATGGCTCAGGGAGCCAACTTCCGGCTAAGGGCACATTGCACCTCTGTACAATATCCTAAGGTGCTGCTCACTGCTAAGGAGATGTGGCCTATGCCGATGAGGCCAGACCTTAAGGAGGGGCAGGGAGAAGGCTTTGTAACTCAGCCAGGACCACTGATGAGTGCCTGAGGGTTTCTTTCTACTGGTGCCAAAGCATTCCTATTAGGGCATCATTAGTCGTGTGGCTGGCTTTGGGGAGTGTAAGGTAGTGTGGATGCAGGCAGGCTGCGGTGTTCACCTGCACACACAATCCTGTGCAGGGGCAGGGGCTGGGCTTGGAAGGGAGAAGGAATGCAATGCTCCTGGTGTTCTACTAGCCTGGCTTCCCATAACACTCAGCCCTCCTCATCTACAGCTGCCACTGTGTGCCAGGTAGGTACTCGCAGACCCTGGTGAAGCGCTCTGTCATTGGCTTCCAAGGGCTCCACTCTCCTGCTTTTTTCCTTTTCTCTCTGGCATCTCCTTCTCAGCCTCCTTTGCTGACATGCTCTGCTGCCTATTCCTTGAATGTTGGTAATTCTCAGGATTTTGTTCTAGGCCCACTCCTCACTTTCCCTACTCCCTATAGGTATTTCCTATTGTTTCATCCCTGTTTCATACCATTGTTTCACATGGTATTCCCTATATGCCAGTGTCTCCTTGGCTATCTCAACTGACATCTCTCAAATCTCCACTTCAGCCCTGGCTTGGTTCCTGACTCAGGTATCCAATGTCCTGTTTGATACCTTGAAGGTAACTAAAAAGAACGAATAACCTGCCCTGAACAGCTCCCCTGTTCCTTCTGTTGGTTCTGTCTCAATGCATGGCACCATCACTTACAGGTGGCCCATGTCAGTAACCTGCACACCAACCTTTGCCCCTCTCTCCATTAGCGCCTCTCCTCAATCCTGGAGTCTCAGCCATTCTCCATCCTCAGTATCTATGAGAGCATTCCACTTAGCTCCAACTGCCTGAGAGCAGAACGCTGCCATTTCTCTCACAGATTTTTGCAACCACTGCTTGCTCCTTCCTCTGCATTCACACTGCCTGTCTGCAGGCTAGTCCCCACATTTTAGCCTGAGTGATTCTTCTTAATGCAAACCTGATTCTGTTACTCCCCTGCTCAAAACTCTTCAAGTGCTCCCCAGTGACCTCAGGAGAAAGTTCAAATTCCGAAACATGGTGAAGTAGACTCTTCATGCTCTGGCTCCTGCTGCCTTCTCCAGCTTCTTCTCTTCCAACCCCCACAACCTTTCCAGGCTGGCCTGAATCTCTTTCAGCTTCATCAAGTGTCACAATGTCTCTCATCTTAGGGATGTTCCCTTTACCTGGAAGCTGTCTCTTCTTCTGGCTGATTTATGCCTAACCCCTCATTGATGGAAACATCGCTGTGTTTCCACAGCAATGTCTCCCCCTCTGGATACTCTCCAGGACTGTGCAAGTCTACAATGAGTGACACCCCCAGGTGCTCCCCAGCACCCTGCACTTCTGCCACTTCTAGGCAGACAGCATACTTTATGTGAATTTCCTGTTTACTTGTTTGTTTCCCTTTCGATATTGGAAGCTCCATGAGGACAGCAACCACATCTGCTTAATTCATTATCTCTGGGGCTTAGAACAGGGACTTGCAGCTAGTAGGCATTTCATAAATATTTGTAGAATAAAAGAAGAGAAGCATGTGAGCAAGTGTGTACACAAAGGCAACGTGTGTTAAGTGAAGAGCACTGGACCAGAAGTCAGAAGTAAGATCAAATGCCTACCTTACCTCTTAGCAGTTGGGTCTCAGGCTCTTCATTTCTAGGATTAGAATGAGATGCCTGCCAGGGCTGGGTTGATGTGGAAAGCACATGCATGGAAATGTGCTTTTTGTGTGTGAATTACAACCATAGCCTGGAAGAGTAGGAACTCCCTGTAGGGAATGTGATGGACTGTGAGGTGGGAGTGTGTGTTGGAAGCAGTAACCACAGACAATAGTTTGTCTCAGCAAAGCAAAGGATTAGAAGGGATCTATGCAAGTCAATATGGTCAAAGGCACTCACGATGGTTGCTGAGTTTCTCATCTTCAATGGGAATGAAACAATGAGGGGATTGAGGGAAAATCTGACATTCACTTCCAAGACCAATTCCAGAAAGAATCCCATCCTG